AGCCTCCCTGAGGTAGCGGGGCCCCAATTCACCCACCCCACCCTCCAGCACTGGCTGTGGAACTGCTAGAACCAGCTCCCTCTCTTCTCTTTCCCCCCTCCAATTCTGAAACAGGGACAGGCTAAGAGAGAGGAGGGGCCATTGCTAGGGAAAACTGACTGCAGGCTGAAGGCAGCAGCTAAATTGCTCTCCCCCCCTGAAGCCAACAGTGAACTTCTGCTTGGTCTGGGGGATGGCTGTAACTCAGATTGCTTCCTGCAAATCATTCTCAGACACAGAAGAGAGCTGCTCTTCTGTCTGTGCCAACAAAGCCTAAAAAGATGTGCTATTCTTTAATCTAAGGAGGATTCTCATGTTCATATTCTTCTTGATTGTTCCACTCTCAAACTCTTCCAGCTGTAAATGAAGTCCTTTATTAGGGAAACATTAAGATAAAGTGTTCATAATATATCTAGCAATGAACAGACTAAAAGCTTGTTAACAGAAGCTTGTAGAAGAGAAATTATTACTACCAAACTCCAAGCTAATTTTCCACACCAGATCTCAAGATATCAGTGAGAACAGAGAGACATGGATACCACCCTTTGCAAGACAAAATATTAGAAGGAAAGCTGTAGTAGGTACAGCAAGGTCTCAGAGATATGATACAGCCTTCTTTTGTGGTTTTCCTGGTATGATCTGGCAATAGGCAACTTGCAGTTCTATAGGCTTGATATAGACTATGGATAAAAATGAATAGTTCCCTTTTCTCCTTTTAATTTTGTTTGCATATACCTTTACTTGAACAAGTAAAATTAAAGATATACAAATAAGTCATGATGAAAAGCCATACCAAACACAACATAACATAATTCTCAGCCTTTTTCTGAATGTCATAGAGTGCACTCAATGCTCATGTACTGAGAACCTTTCAAGATTGGGCTTATAATGAATATTTGCTACAGCCCGTAACACAAATATTTTTGGATACTTTTTAGGGGAAGAAAAAGCTTGGTATGGGACAGTAGAATGTGTACCCAATCTATTGCCTCTACCTTTTCCTTAGAGAAGGAATCCATTTCTTCTGCCTCAAAGAGTATCCTTTAGCAAATTACAGCATTTGCAGTTTCTGCTTTTACCAGCTCTCCTTTTATACCATTATGGAAGACTCCTGATCTTTCACACTGTTGTCTTCTTATCTTTTTTGATTTATGCTTATCCTCTTTGTAGTATATTTTATAAAATATTTTAGCTTTTGACTTTTGAATCATCATGGTATAATGTTTGCATTAGAATAATCTCTTGAGTATGAAGAACTTCTGTTTTCTATGGAAGTTCTTGTGCTCTGTTTAAAATACAATAAATATGAGCAAGGGAGTGGGCATTCTAGTAATATAAATAATGCTGTTTGCTATTCTCAGAACGTATATATGGCAACAAGGGTGAACCAGCCCTTTTCATTTATGTGAACATTCTGTTTCCAGCCTTAAATGGAACAATGGTTGTTCCTACACACAAAGAGATAGATCTTCTGTTGTGGCTAGAGAGTGCTATACATAGTTCAACAGAAGATTGCAAAAGTACACTTGGTCCTCTTCTTGTCCCAGGAATTCTTTCCATGTAACAAGACTTCTCTGAACTGCAGTAGACTACCCATAAGGATACGACAGAAAAGATGGCTGATGCCAAAAGGAATCCAATATGATGATTGTGTTTTGCAAGGATCTGCTACTCAAGGAATATCTCATAGGTGCTGGTTCTACCAGTTTTAGGATTGCTTTGTGTCTGTGAAGTATCATAAAGCACATTGGTTGAAATCTCTTGTTCAATTTTGCCACTGAATTGAATTTCCTTGTCTTTAGTAATTACACAGAAAGATTCTTAGCATCTTTTATCAATATTTCTGCTGCTAATTAAAGAAAACACAACCTGAGATATGGGGGGGGTTCATTTTTGTTTTTTTAATACAACTTTACCCTATATTAATTGTTTGTATTCTAGATGTGATGGAACAGCTGGTGGCAGCTTGGTCCAGGGGTTTTGACAAGTTCTAATGTCTACTATCAAAGTAGGAGCCAAAATCTGCATTCGGTTATGCTCATGGAACCACTGACTTCCACTTGTGTCCTATATCCAGGGATAACATTTAGTCTATTTAGGGCCCAATTTAATGGCCAGTGAAGTCAATGAAAAGACTTGCTGATTTTAACAGGTTGTGGATAAGTTCCTTTAACATTTCAAATGGGATGTGATAGTGAAATGGATCCCATTAAAAACAGTGTGCTGTGAATATAGACTTGCTGACTCAATCATTAGGAATATTAAAGGACATAATCTAATCATAAGTAAATTAGTCCATGTCCTTTAAACCATTCAGTGTGGCTGGTTAATATAAACTTTGCTCTTTGTTTTAGTGAAGTTACTCTGCAGTGATGAGCAGGTATCTTTTTCTCCAATAACTGAACCAATAACCTAATACTGTTTCCAAATTATGAAGTGGAATCACCATTTATATAGGAAATATAAAACTATGTCTCTTCAGATTAAAAAATGGTTTTAAATTATCCAAAGAGTAAAAAGATAGACCTAGGCTTTGCAGCCTGTACACTTTTCTAATCGTGCCTGTAGCAATTGGAAGGGCATTCCTTTAACACTCTATATCTATGCTGTATGGTGTTTTCAGAGCAGTCCTTCACTGGAGTCCCTTGGGAATCATTATAAATTTATAGCTGCTACAATTTATGCCAGTGTCTGAAATAGTCCTTGGATGTCCAAAGGGTCAACAAACACAAATTTTGGACCAAACAATTACCTCTGAAGAATTTGTCTTGTTTCATCAAAACTTTGGCCCATAAAGGTCATGATCCTTATGCTTCAAATGAATGTGAAAACTGATGAAAAACTTAGCTAGTTAATGCACAAAGTAAGAAGTAGGGAACAGATTCCTTTCTGTCCACTGTAAGTCATCATACTGCACCATGAAGCAGGAAATGTGATTATTTGCACCTAGCAAAACTATACACTTTATTAATGATAATAAAATTATTAACCATGATAATTGAAGCACTCTTAATAACCTGGAACTATGTGCATTCTGTGGTACAATGACATCTCCAGCAATATTAATCACTGTTAACAAAATCTAATGCTGCAAACCTACTGGGAGAGGGGAATGTTATCTTTCACACCTTTTTTCTATCAACTTAAAATCTTCTGTTGCTGCAGCAGCACTGGATAGCATTGAATTCTTCAATGATTGTATGCACACTGATGACATGGAATCACCACCATAAATAAGTACGGGACATTTTTTTCTCTTGATGATTTACAGGTTATAAACCTGCCTGCACCTTTATTAAATCTGAAAACAGATTAAACTGAGCTGATTAACACAGACTTCAAACACAGAGGCACATTCTATCATAAGAGGGTCTTAAACAAAGCCCTCCTCTCTGTACCCTCCCACTGCATTCATTTGCAAATCACTGTGTGCCTAGCAAAGCCTGCACTCCCCCCAGCCCCAAACCTTCTCATGTTGAGCACTGCGGCTCCATCAACAGTAATATCTCTCTCTGTGAGGGATGTTTCTTATTAATCAGGGGCACTGAATGGAAACCAATCAGATAGAGAGTCCCTTTGGCTCCGGCTCCCTGCCTGCCTGAGTTAGAAGTGATGCTGAGAGACAAGGAGCCCTAGTTAGGTGCAAGTACATACAGCAGTGGAGATACTGTAATAGGCAGAGGAGAAAAAGCAGACAGAGAAGCATTACTGGGCAAAGCTAGGTTCACATTGGAAAATAAGGTAAGTGGATTAACTTTCTTCAGCCTTATTTTTTTTTAAGCAAAACACGGAAACTTCCTTTAAAAGAGGATGTTCAGACTATTTATTGTCCTTAATTGTTACCCATTCTTTGTAACACAGACAGCATAGGGGGATTTTAAGTTGTTAGTGGAATAAAAGTGCAATAGGTTGTGGAAAGTTGAAACAAAAAACTTGCAATTCAGTCCCTTGAATTCTGCAACATATATATGGGGTCTGGTTTACATACATTAGGAAGCATGCTGGTTAGTAAGAGAATCTTACTTTTGTTCAATTATATCCTATATATATATGCATCCTAATATTTTTGTGCAAGGTGTTTTCTCTCCAGTCCTTGGGCTCTGCTGCAATCCCTCTCTATCTTTATTCTCTATTTGTATGAGAAATATCTAGTCAAAATTCACCCCAGATAAAAGGATAAGTAAGGAACAGGTTTTAACCATAATTTGAGCAAGCCAAGGATATTTTTTTTCCTGAATTATAAAAGCAAAATGCTTATTTTATTCATATTTGGTACCAGGGAAATAACAGTCAGTTAAGATGGGTTCAGAGATCCTGAGAAGGAAGGGTGATGCTCTTTGGAATATTCAGAGCAATAAGTCAAAGTCAGTAGACTTAAAGTATACAGCCGCTTTCTAGACATGGTAACTAACAGCCTGGCCAACTTAATATTTAAATATTACATTGGATGAAAACTGAGATGGAAAAAGCAAAATTGATCCTTTGATTCCAAAGTAACCTACAGAATGCAATTACTTCATGAACAGCATTTTCTTTTTACATATGCAAGAAATGTGCAATCACACCAATTCAATTTCAGTGAGCATACAAGCCTCAAACAAAGAATGATGAATACCAACTGTAAAGAAATCAATATTCCTTGCAATCATATGGCAGAGTGCATACTGTAGCAATTTATTGTCTTGCAGACAGTTTTAAATAATGAGTCAAGATAATAGAAAAGGAGTTTGGTCAGGGTAATTTCCATTTGCAGTCGACAAGTTTGCAACTAGGCGCTCAATTCTGTTGCCTCTGAAGTCAATGGTAAAACTCCAATTGATTTTAATCTGAGCTGGACCATGCCCCAGAGCTACATACTCTGTCTCAAGTTTCATATGACGTGAATAAGTGAAGCATTTAAGTTAAAAAGTCAATGAGTATTCTAACATGAGGTTTAACAAAGCTTAGCTGATATTTCTTATATATTAATGATACTGTACACAATGTCTGAGTTTGTTCAGGTCAGTTTTATAAGAATCATTACTTTAAATGTTAAATATGGGTGATAAGACTTACTTTCTAAAGGTGAACAATGGCCCAAACATTTTATCTAGGAATACCTTGGGGGTTTTGTCTGTTTATATTTTCTAAGGGTTATTTGGAACCTCACAAAGGAAATATGATAGCCTTAATACAGGCAGGCATATAGTCTGCTCTATATGTCAAGAGGGCAGTTTCAGTATATTTTATTCCCATGTGAGCTTACTATATAGTAGATAGAATTCAAGGTATAATTACATGTGACATACTGTAAATAATAACATATTTCATATGAACAAGAATATTATGCAGTAAACTTTCATATGCAAAATATTATGCAGTAAAATGACCATAGGAGGAACAAGTCCTTAAAAGTTGGATAAGTAATATTGATCTTAACTGAAGAAATCTCTCTCTCTTACTATATAGCAAAGTTGTATGTCTTTCTTGTTAATTTGTATGTGCTAGACAGGTATGATTTGAATAATCATGGTTAATTGCTATATACATGTCTGCACAAAGAAGCATAATAATTATTAGATTGCTAAAAACATGGATATTATATAAACTAATTCATTACATCAACATGCAATGTGTTTTATATGTAGGTGTAAAGAAAACTTGGGAAGCAAAATATGGAGAAACCATATCTTTTTCTCCCTGCAGCTTATCTAAAGAGTTATTTTTGTTTTCAGTGCAGAGCTTCTTATATTTGCCTGCTGAACTGGTCATGCTAAATAAGGATTGAAATTCCAGTTATCCTTATTTAAGCAATAGCTCCTTCACAGAGGTGTGGACTTTATCTGATTGCTTGTCAGTGGAGACACTGTAAAGTATGGTAGCTATCTGGGGCTGGAAGAAATATACTGTGTGATATAATTAGATCAACCAATGAGAATAATTTAGTTTCCCAGCTCTGCCAAATAAAAGATAATGACTTAACTAGCTCAAATGTAGGTTCACTAAGACCTTATTTATGACCTTATTTAAGACCTTATTTAAGACCTTATTTATTAAGACAACCGAACTAAACCAAGAGAACCATTGTAGTACTAAAATCTAACTGTGTTTCAAAACTGCAATGTTTCTGAAAGCCTATCCAGTCACATAGGTCACAGGAAATCAGCTGGCACAAACTGGTGGAGGGGAAGGGTGGTAGAGAGGACACTAAAGAATTTGGTTCAAAATTCCCTCTGAAGATTTTCCAAGATGATAAACTCATTTCAGCTTAATATGAGGAATACTGCCTGCAACTTGGAATTATTCGGTCCTTAAGGGCAATATTATTTTGATAATTTGGTTAGTGTTTATTGGAACACAGAAATATAGCAGACATTTTCAAAGTACTACAGAAGTTTGATCCTGTCCTTATTTCTTCTTATTCGTTATTTTCAAAGAGTTCCAGCTAAGTGGCAGATCCTTATTAGAAGTGAAAACTCATTGTTCAAAGTGTCACTGTTATAAAGACACTCCTAGTTCATGAACAAAAATCACATGTACAGAAAGATCATGTTCAGAAATGGGGTAGTATTAAATATATCATTTATATACATTTCTGATCAAAATATCTATTTCTATGCAGAAACAAAAAGTCTATACAAAGATGCTTCTCCTACTCCTATCAGAGTGCCTTCTGAATGTCTTCAGCTAGCACCAGGTGCTACACACAAATGGTATCTGCAGAGACACAAATATTTGAACATGAATAAGGTTGTTGGAGTGGAAACCGACTGCATTTTGTGTGTGAGAGTTTATGAAAAGTAATTTTGTAAGAATAAATCCCAGATTTTCACAAAAAGAAAAAATGAAGCAAAGGAAAATGACTCACAAATCTGAACAAACAGAATATTGGTAAAAGCAGTCAAGCAGTATTTTAATAACTTGTCCCTTTCACTTTTTAAACAAATATCAAATTGATGGCAAATTTTACTGTAGGGGAAAAGGCAGGTTATTGTGTTGACTCTTTGGGAGCAAACATGATAAAAAGATCTGATAGCTTAAAGGCCTTTCACTTTAGAAGCCTAGTAGATATTTGTCTTGAGTGACTTCATAACATCAGAAAGAAACATTTAGGTCAGATGACTGTTCATGTCATAAAGAAGAAGCAGTGAAGGTTCATTACTAGTGAAAATAAACTGGCTGTGGTCAGTTTTAAACTATGGCATTCAATGAGCATTCTGTTACAGACTTCAGTGGGCTTCAATGGAGGAAAGACAAAGCTCCCAAAATATATAAACCATAGTACATGTTATAAATTAAGTTCTGGAATAAGTTCTAGATCCAATGCTTGCTCTATTCAGGAACTCTACTTGATAAGATGTAATTATAAAAAAAATGAACAAATTAAATATGTCATTGATACACATTAAAGACTCCAAAGTAGATAGGTTGTGTTACCTCATTCATTTTACCATGCAGAGACCACTGCAAAAGGAGCTGAGGACTTGCATGAGGTCACAAAGCTGACCAAAGAAAGGTACTAAACCATTTTTTCTCTCTCCCCCAGGGTCTTACTCAGTTGCATATGCTACTTTTTGTGGAATTATTAAACAATGTTTCATTGTGGTTTAAGAAGAATAAAAATGACTCTTTTTCAAAAGCAAGCTTCAGTAGGTGTAGTAGGGGGAAACATAAAGCAGTTACTAGCATATGGCATAGTAAGTGTTCAGACCCCAGTGAAATATAGCTTTCTATATTTGAATTTCACATCCTTTGCCAATAGTGAAATAGAAAGGGTGCTTCATATGTAAGAACTTGGTTTTCCTTGTCACACACAAACATGGAATTGCCTTTTTTGATATTACAGAAATGCTTACACACAAATAGGAAGTTAAAGGTAATGGTGTGATGCAAATTTGATGGCTGTTAATTTAATTTTGGTTGTCTGACTGCCACAAGCCCTCACTTACAGAAGATATTGACTTGGATGGGAGTTCTGCTTAAGTGAAAGTTACAGTTTGGGACCACATATGTTATTGATCAGATTTATTTATTTATTTTAAGATATAGATTTTTTTTCCCCTGGTTCATCTAATGAAATTGAGGAAAAGCTCCTGAAGATTTCAGAGTAGCCTAATCATACTTTTTATTTTATTTTATTTTTGCATAAAATCCACCAAATGCCTTAGGGGAAAAAAGTGCACATCTACGCACATTAAGGAAAACTACAGACATTCTTTATCGACCTTGTAGAACTTCTTGACAATACTCGCAGACACTCAGCTGATGTAAACTGTCACAACTCTGCTGAAAACCATTTAGAGTTTACGCCAGTTAAGAAATCTGCCTTTCTCTATAGCGTACGATTCAGGTATGTTTTTATTTACTCCATTAGCTTAGGAAATTGAAAATCAATTGCATGGGTAATGAGTGGTCCAGAATCCACCATTTTTTGCTCATAAACAGTACACTTATTGGCACTTCTTAATAATAAATCCAGGGAGTGTGAGATTGTTTTATAAATGTTCATTACTGGAAATTAAAAAGCCATGGCTTGTAACAGGTCAAAATGCTTACGCTCATATGATTATTATGGGTAGTATCTTCCTTTTTTCCCCTTCCTGCTTCCTTAATCATTCAATATATGTCATTCACCTCTTGATGCAGAGGGAAGGGGGGAATAAATGTGTATCATCATCTAATCTGAATTAGAGAAAAATTCTGTACATAACAAAAACAAATAAAATTATTTTTCACATACAGCAGTTACATGTTATGATCAG